GACCAAGTGTAACCACGCCAGCCCAGGACCTCCACATCCGATCTCTTCACCTGTGGGATCGTCTGAGACCAGCCACCCGGACAGCTGATGAAACTGTGGGTTTGCACAACCGAAGAATTTCTGCACAAACGTTCAGAAACCGTCTCAGGGAAGCTCATCTGCGGCCTCGTCGTCCTCACCAGGGTCTTGACCTGACTGCAGTTCGGCGTCGTAACCGACTTCAGTGGGCAAATGCTCACCTTCAATGGCCACTGGCACACTGGAGAAGTGTGCTCTTTTTTTTTTTAAGGTGTCTGTGACCAACAGATGCATATCTGTATTCCCAGTCGAGAAATCCATAGATTAGGGCCTAATTAATTTATTTCAATTGACTGATTTCCTTATATGAACTGTAACTCAGTAATGTCTTTGAAATTGTTTCATGTTGCGTTTTATTTTTGTGTAATATTCTGTTAACTCCTATCCAGTTAATGTTGACTCATCCTATACTTGTATTTGTGGCCGAATAATAAATTGAAGAAAAAACACTTTAAAAAACCCCACCTAAAACTTGTATCACAGAGTTTCTAAACCCAGAGGCTCAACATCATGAGACGTCCAGGAACGCTTGCGAAACAGACCAGACCAGGTTGGGGTTTGAGAAGCCAATGAGAGAAGTGAAAAATTCTTCCTTAGTTGTTTATTTTCTCAATTTAAAGGCACAAACTAGATTTGAGCCAATGTCTTAAGTAGTTGAACATGTTATTACTCCAACATCGCCTACAAGTGTAATCGTGGATTTATATTGGAGAAGCAGTTTTTGCCTATCTTCGTACTGTCTTTGCTTGTATCTCAAACAGACTGTTTAAAAAAAAATGGTATTTCCTCATAGAACATGTCATCTCCCTGAGGAGGATGAGCTGGCCAATCAGCGGTCTACTTAATGACCAGTATACGCCCACCCCATTCTGTCGTTGGGTTACGCCCACACCATTCCAAAACAGAAAAGCTGCTTTTTAACATACTTAATTACAAATAGTTGTTTTTATTTCTCCCTAATTTCGATCTTGTCTCAGCGCTGCAACTCCCCAACAGGCTCGGGAGGTGGAGTCATGCATCCTCCGAAACATGACCCACCTAACCGTGCTCCTTAACACCCGTCAGCTTAACCTGGAAGCCAGCCGCACCAATGTGTCGTAGGAAACACTGTTGAACTGGCGACTGGGGTCAGCCTGCAGGCACCCGGCCTGCCACAAGGAGTCGCTAGGGGCCAAACCCTCTAACCCGGACAATTGTGCGCCGTCCTATGGGATTCCCGGCCACGGCCGGTTGTGGAACAGCCCGGGAATGAACCCAGGTCTGTAGTTACACCTCTAGCACTGCGATGCAGTGCCTTAGACCGCTGTGCCACTCAGGAGGACCCAATTACAATTTTTTAGAAGGAAATCTATTTTACTCATATTGTAAGTAATTATAGGTCATATTTCATAGACATCTAGAAATGCTGGGCAGTTACTTTAATAGTTTGGCAGGTAATGAAGAGATATTGTACTGCTGGTCTTGATATGAATCAAATTCAAAATTCATTTGTGAACTGTAAAAATGGAAAATCTAATGACGATGAATGTCTTAATTTGTGAGGTCAACTATGGCCTTTCCATTGGACCATCATAATCTCTTGAGTTCAGTCCTGTATTGTAAAAGCACCTGTTATCAATGTAATAGTCAAATGGGGTTTGCCGGACAATACTGATTAAAAAAAACAAGAAATCACATACATTTTTGTGTGTTACTTGCATATATTTTGTTAATGTACTACTTCATGGTTGTGGGTTCGATTCCCACGGGGGGCCAGTATGAAAAATGTATGCACTCACTAACTGTAAGTCGCTCTGGATAAGAGCGTCTGCTAAATGACTAAAATGTTAAAATGTACTACCTGCTGTACCCTCTTACATTGATGGACTGTCTTAACCTCTAAACTGTGGGGGGGGGGGGGGGGGGGTGGTTCTGCTAAGCTAACATATGGAATTGTTTTAAGATGGTTATACCATGGATCATTTAGCTATTTGATTTAGAATTTTAAGGACCCTTTTAGGTATCCAAAAATATTGAATTTGGCCTTTACTACAGTACTATAGCCCAGAGAAAGGCATTGAATAAATGGCAAAAAAGACAGTCAAAAACGAAATCATAAGGAAAAAGGTTTTGAAGTGTCTCCTATATCTAGGGGATATAAGAAAGCTCAGGAAATATTTTCGTTTTTTTGGACACATTTAACCCCTTATATTTATTGGCACAAAACTACCTCCATACTTCCATTCCCATGTGTATGGGTTACCTTCAGATGAGTCCGTGACATTGTGGGGTCATATTAGTTTGTAGCCCAAACGGTTCGGATGCTACAGACAGAAGTTGGCACATCAGCAGTACCGACTTCAGACGAGTCCAGTGGGGCTTGTGGGAGTTGTAGAGCAAAACGGAGAACACCATCATGTTCATGAGTCTCATATATTAGTTTTCGTGAGAAGACCGATTTTAGGGATGTCTCATGGTCTGACAAACACCGTTGTAGCTCGGCCACCTTCCACCACAGATGCGTAAGGCTGACGTAGGCGGATGCAGTGGATTGAGACGCAGCCCATGCAAAAAAACAGATCTCTAGTTTACACTGAATGATTTTGATGGGGATTTTTTATTATTATGTTACTTAGATTGACGCATGGACTCTTAAGGATTGAAACTATGTCTGTGTTTCTCACAATATTTGTTTATTGTGTGTCTCGAGAGAACGGTGACAATGGCCAACACTCATTTTTCATGTTTAGTCAAGTTCTTGATTTTGGCGCAGTGAAGACTTCCATTTAGTGGTCACAAAATAAAACAATATCCATATTTTCCACTAGGAGGTGCCTTTGTGCTGATGAAACTTACCTATGTGATTGTGAGTGTACATATATTGAGTGTACAAAACATTAGGCACACCTGCTCTTTCCATGACAGACTGACCAGGTGAATCCATGTGAAAGCTATGATCCCTTATTGATGTCACCTGTTAAATCCACTTTAATCAGTGTAGATGAAGGGGAGGAGACAGGTTAAAGAATGATTTTTATGCCTTGAGACAATTGAGAGAAGGATTGTGCATGTGTGCCATTCAGAGGGTGAATGGGCAAGACAAAAGATTTAAGTACCTTTGAATGGGGTATGGTAGTTGATGCCAGGTGCACTGGTTTGAGTGTGTCAAGAACTGCAACTCTGCTGGGGTTTTTCACGCTCAACAGTTTCCCAGGTAACTTGACACAACTGTGGGAATAATTGGAGTCAACATGGGCCAGCATCCCTGTGGAACGCTTTCGACTCCTTGTAGAGTCCATGCCTCAATGAATTGAGGCTGTTCTGAGGGCAAAAGGGGGTGTAACTCAATACTAATGTTTTGTACACTCAGTGTGTTTTAGCCTATGTCAGGGTCTGTCTGATTGTTGAGGCCTTTCCAAAGAAATCTTCACTAAAAACCTATTTGCCTCTTTACTGCATCTGACAAAACCTTGACAACTCTTAATTTTTGTAGGGCTCAGTCTTAGCCTTTGAGAGTTCCATAGTTTATTTAGTACTGTTGGTCAGAATAGTAAACTATTACATTTTGGCAACAGAACCAACCTAAACGTGTATTCTTTCAAACATTTGAGATTCAGTTGTGCAGAGTTGTTTACCTCTCACCCAATCACATATGAGGATTAACAGTTGTACTGAGCCAGTGAATAAAAGTGAGAGGGGGGCAGTTAAGTGTAAATAATGCTGTAATCCACAGGATTAGTGGGTGAATATTCAGCTGAGCTGGAACTGAATACATTTTTAGAGGCTATTCACTGCACATCTGTAAACACATATTTTAGGCCGCCCTGACTGAAATGATGGACACAAGATATGTCATAACTTGATATAAAAACAACCTTTAGCTTGAACCAGGCTGGAATTACATTGGGAATTTATAGGTTGTGGAACTGTATTTGAAATTTGTAGGCATTTTTTCATAGTGAAGACCCAACTATCACAGATTATCACAGATTACTTACCATATTATTATTATACTCCATAGTCAATACTGTTAGATATACACAGTTGCATGCAAAATATCCTACTTTCCAATATCATGCAACATTAGCATATAGTTTAAGAATGTATTTATTAAGAATGCAACAGAGTTGTGATGGATTTAGCAAACTGGATAGAAATATGGAAGCAATGGTCAAACATGCCTGTGAGGCTGACGCTACATATATTCTTAGCTGCTCTACAACAACAGTGGTTATGAAATAGCATTGATGCTCAGAATAGATTATAGATAATTTAGTAGTTTTGATGATCCATCTCACCAGATTACTTTCTGGCCCTCAAATTCTTCTTTACATCACACATAAGTCACTAAAAGGACTGATACACCAAAAAAGGTGTAGTTTTAAACACCAGAAGTGATTGAGTTGACTGTTTTAGAAATAATATGGAGATGAAAGTTTAAAAAAACATTTAGGTAGAAACTGTCTACAGACAACAGAATGCTTGTAAGTCCAAATAGTATTTCTGTTGGTGTTGGAATGTTACTCATGCCAAGTGCATCACACAGGTATAAATGCACGTGAGGACATGCATGAGTAGTACATACCCTAACATTGAGCAAAAAAGCAATCCTTTTGCTTGGCCATGTCCTCCAAATATTGGCTCAACACAAAGGTAACAGCAAACATGGTTTAGCAAAGACAAAGTATAATTTGTTCTTCTATCCATTATCACTTTTAAGTGTAGGCCTATACTAAAATTATTAGAAAAAAGTGTCAAAGAATTTCAACATGAATTCTCGAATTGTAATTAAGTCATAGTGACTACAGTACGATGGTGAGTTGACGCCACTAGATTGGTCATGAGAAAGAGCAAATGCTTGAGTTGCCAAGCGACCAGGCAGATAGTTCCTTAGGTTCCTTGTCATGGTAATCACCAAAAAACGCCCCAAACTCTTCCTAAAAAGTCTCTCTCTCGACCATCAGTCAACCAGAAATGCCGCTCCCCCCCCCCCCCCCCCCCCCATCCAAAGGGAGTCTTCGTCGGTTGCTTTGTAAAGAAATTTTTTGACCTTTCAACCCTCCTAAGTATGGCTCTCCAAGCATAAACCTTATGAAAAAAGTGCGCTGGTTCTCATTCAGAAATATCGGAGTTTTGTATTCACAATTTCAGACTGTTAGTGTGTCTAGGGCAGCTCAGTGTATCACTCTGGTCCCTCTGTCCACATCCTGGTCACTCAGACACAAGGGCGTGGGTGATTGGCTGTAAGGAGCTCAGCTGGGCAGTAGCCACAGCTCCAGGAAGTCCCAGTGCTTCCAAAGGATGAACAGAAACAGGGCCAGCATGATGGTGGTGGCCACCCGCGCTCGGGTCTTCATGAGTGGGGTGATAAAGTTTGCCAGGGTGGAGACAAAGACCAGCACTACGGCCATGAGTGCCAGGATGATGTTGATGAGTTTGCCCAGCAGGGCGCGGGCGTTGGCGTTCTCCACACCCTCCAACTGCACCACCTGCTGCTGCTGCTGCTGTAGCTCCAACTTAGTGATGCGGGTCAGGCACGACTCCACCGCTTCCTGCATGTATACATACACACACAGGTACAAATTATAAACACAGGAAAACGCAATGTTACAACTGAATTAGGGGAACAAGGCTCATTTCTGGAGTCATACTTGTGTGGTTATCTACAGGAAAAGTATCATATACTGTAAATCCAGGTCTCTATCTCTCTACCTGTATGTCTCTGGCTCTCTCATAGGACTGGTAGGCCACTTTCTCCTCCATGCTGGCCAGCTCCTGTTTCAGATTAGTCATCTCGTTTTGGTGCAGCTCTGTCAAGTCATTCAGCTGCTCTTCCAGTCGCTCATACCTAAACAGAGAGAGAGAAAAAATGTATGAGGTAGAGTCGGTAGAATTTAGACCAGCGCCGTAAAGACTAATTCAATGAATTAGAGAAAGATTTTACATATTTATGGAGTTTTCAAGGCATCACTCCGTTTAATTTAAGGATTGGTTTGATACATTAAAACAACTACTTCTGATCTTGACAAAACTTGAAATGTACAAAACCTGTTGTAACAGTTTCCTTGACCTTTTTAATTATCCTCATAAATATCATTCAGCATAAATCATGTAGAGTGAAAACACTGAACACGATTTACACTGTTGTACTGAAATAAGCTAAAAGCAAAGCAGCTTGTTTCAGCAGTTAGTGTGAGATCGATGTATACTACCAACTCTCATTCCATGCTCTGTGTATTGGCCTAGGTGTTGGTCTGCACCTGTATCTCTCCTCCTGCAGGCACTGGTTCATGTAGGAGTAGTCACTCTGCAGCTGACTCTTCATGTCCTCGATGGCGTCCTCCATGTGGGCCTGGCTGGCCTTGATCTCCTGCAGGCCTTCCAGCAAGGCGTCCCAGGAGCTGTGAATGTGATGGTGGTGGTGGTGGTGCCCATCCAGTCTGGGGCTCCCCAGACCAGCCTGCCCCTGCCCCGACATCCCACCTCCTACCCCGGCCCCGCCTGAGTGACTGCCTGCTGCTGAGCCAGAGGTGGCACTGGAGCACTCGTCGTCGCTGCCGTACTTGGGGCTGGAGACCAGGGTGGCACTGCCACTCAGGGCTCGTTGAGCGGGCGCGTCCTCCGAGTGCCCTCCCACCCCGTCCTCTATGAGGTGGGAGATGTTGTCTGCACTGCCAAATTTGTTGCGGATCAAGCTGGCAAACTCCCGTGGCTTAGACACCACAGCTCCTTTGACCCCTTCCACCCCTCCTTTGACCCCATCCACCATACCCCCGCCAAAGCCATGGAACCCGGCTCGTACATTGGCCCCCATGTCCTTCAGCCCCTGCTGCATGTCCCGCAGCACATCCTTAGGCTGACGGGCAGGACCATTCTATAAGGAGGGTTGAAGGAGGAGGGGGGATGGAAGATGACAGGGAGAAACAAAAATAAATGGGATAGATTGACAGGGTGTGAAGAAGTAGCAGATACATGGATGGAGAAGTGGTGAGAGAGAGATGGAAATAAAAGTGGAATGGTGGAGGTGACACAACAGAGGAGGGGGATAGGATAATACAAACACATGCTTCATCAATAAGAGGGAATAGTCTGAACAGAACACTCAGATAATCTACCTAGGAATAGGGTTGGGCAGGTTTATGATAATACCGTATACCGAGGAATTACCGAGACATGATTTCCAATACTGTGGAAACAGTTTCTTTAAAATGTTAATATTTGTACTTTTAAAATAAAATATGTGTATTGGTTGAAAGATAAAGCTAATCATTCTTATTTGCTTTTCTACAACAACAACCAATCGTTAGATAGTGAGTGAGTGACATCTCATGTTATGTTCTACAAACCCAGGTATTGAAATAGGTATTTTCAACAGCCCGTTGTTAAAGGGAAATTCCACCCAAAAACGATATTTTGGTATTTGTTTCATTAGTTCATTGTTGACATAGTCCCAAAATGTTTTGCTTCTCAGCACTCACATTTTTAAGATATGTAACTTTAAAAATACAGAAATCATCCCTGTATGATGCATTTTGCATCATACGATGCAAAATGCATCATACATCATACAGGGATGATTTCTGTATTTAATTCGTAAGGTAATGTGGATACCGCCCAACCCTACTTAGAAAGTGACAACATGTATCATCACCTCAGTGGAGGCTGCTGAGAACGGCTCATAATAATGGCCGGAACGGCGCAAATGGAATGGCATGAAACACCTGGAAACAATGTGTTTGATGTATTTGATACCATTCCACTGATTACGCTCCAGTCATTACCACAAGCCTGTTCTCCCCAATTAAGGTGCCACCAACCTCCTGTGCATCACCTCAGAAAGCAGCAGTCAGGGTAAAACATTCAAGTGAGACAAACACATTACATTACAAATGTCCCTTAGGAACAGCTGAGCCATGGAGAGGAGTCATCATCAGTCATGAGATGGAACCAGTGAGTGTGGCAGGAACCACCACACACACACACACACACACACACACACACACACACACACACACACACACACACACACACACACACACACACACACACACACACACACACACACACTCACTCACTCACCTGCTCTATCTCCTTCAATTTCTTGTGGTAATGCTCTAGCTTCTTGTGCAGGTGGGTGATGGTCTGTGCAGACTTCTGGTTCTTCTTCTCAAACACCTGTTTGATGCGCGAGGCCTGCTGCTTGTCTGCGTTGTGGGCCAGCTTCAAGTACTCGGCTACGTTGTCATCTCGTGCCTCCTGTTCTATCCGAATCTGCTCAGTGATCTTCAGGATCTTCTGCTGCAGGTGCTCCAGAGCGACCCGCGTTCGCTGAGGCTCGGTGACACCTTCAGCCCCTCCAGCCACAGCCCCCAACCCAGCCACAGCCCCGGCCCCCGCCCCCGCACCCACCCCGGTCCCATCCAAGCTGATGTTACCGTCAGAACCGCCATGGCTGGCTGAGGGGGGCAGGCCCAATGTTGTCACTTCACTTTTATCCAGCTAAGCAGGGAAAGGGGATGGGGGAGGCAGGGGTGACAGAGTGCGCAGATAGAGAGAAAGTGGTTGCCATGATTGATGTGAAGTCAGCATCGCAAGGTAAAAATGATCTTTAAAGCAGAACACCCATCGCAATGACAGATCTGGTGATTATTCTCTTTTCACTGACTTTCCCCCAGATCCTTGGCATAAGACCCAGACAGATTACTGTTAAGCCTTAATAAACAGATATTATATCAAGTGTTTTCACAGTGCATACTGCTAAACTGTGAAAAACTATTTTGGCACATGAACACCTTAACACATTGCACTGATGATGGTGATGGTGATGATAATGGTTAGGCCTAAAACAATGATGCACTGTCAATGTATCATTCTATCCCTTTTAAACTTGTGTGATGTATGATCTAGTGGTGTGATACTGCATGACATAAACATGGGGGGGTACCCTGCCACTTCTACCCTGCAACGTGGCAGGCAGCTCGACAAACAATGGAGGTCTAATCTCCCTCAGTGTGAACTCTTAACATCTCACTGAAAGACACAACCATCTGTGGACTGTTAATATAGGATAAAAACCATGTAGTTGTTTCTGAGAGTGGGAATTTGTTATGTTTGAATTATTACCCCGTCTCCTGGGCAGACATCACAACACTACTGTCACCAACCCCAGCAGACAGGAACCAGGGCAGACAACTGACACCACACATCTCTCAGCAAGCGCTGCCCTAATTCATCTAGTCAGGCCACTGAGGCTTTATTAGAATTGTATTAGCATGTAAAAGAGGTCTCAGAGGAGCCCCAGTGCCTAGCACTATTTTCCAACAGATCCACTGACAAGCAGGCGATAATTTTAGAAAGTAGGTTACAATCAGGTAGCTGCATTGAAACGGAGGCATGTGATTTTAATGGACGAATGACTGCAGGCACTACAATACCAGGCTATTCACCTATTCATTTTATTTCAATGAGAGCAAATGGAAAGCTTATTTTGTTACAGACTGGATAAAGGGAAGAAATACACAATGTTCCTTCCTCTCTGGATGGATGGGAAAAAATACAACAAAAACAACACACACACAGAGACACAGAGACAGCAATGGCCGATGCTCAGATCCAACAGTGTGTGTGAAAACACAGGGTTAGGTCCACGGTGGGTGAGGCTCCTGGAGACAAGAGCAGAAGCAGGGAGATGATCATAACAGACGGCTATGGCATTAAAAAAAAAGGGTCTTCACATGTGAGGAGGAGACATGCACTGCGACATGGGTGAAATGAGTGATGGGTGCCAACGAGAATGGGTGTAAACACTAGAGGATGATGAGACAAAACCAGTGCAGTGATAGATTAATTTGGGAACGTTACCATACTGTTTAATCCAGGATTGGCTGTGCCACTGCAGGTCTGTGTTCGAGGCCCATCCTTCTCCTCCACTTCCTCCTTCTCCTCCTCCCTCCCCCCTGTGGTCACACGAGACCCCCTTTCCTCAATGTCTGTCCCCTACCCAATATCTGCCTATTGCCTTACCAGAGCTTCATGCTCCATTGTTGATAACAAAGATGTCTGCAGCCTCCCTGTCCTCCTCCATCTCTCTCTCTCTCTCTCTCTCTCTCTCTCGTTGTCTCTGCTGTTGCTCTCTTTCTCCCCCTTTGTATCTTACGCTCGCTCTGTCTCCCTCTCTCTCTTTCCCCTTCTCGCTGTCTGAGTGCAAACACTAGCCGTCCTGCTCTATCACGGCTGTGTGAGCTGAGGCACAGATGATGGAGGGAGAAGGGAGGGGGGATGGGGAGAGTTTAGCGCACGCGTGCAGGTGCCTGTGTGTGCTGAAGCCAGGGAAGCGGAGAGGGGGAGGGAGGGGGGATGGTAGTACAGCAGGGCTTGTGTCAGGGCCTATTGCAGCGCTTTCATCCCTTAAACCATGAATATACACCGCCTCACGCATGTTTATGGAGGGCTGCTGCAGTGGTTTACAAAGAATGTGGAGCTACGGCCAGACTTAAAAAGGAGTGCCCTATCTTCTCTGTCCCACGGTGCAGCATTATAAAGGCAGATACAAAATGTTTTTAAAAAAGTTACATAGAAATAGGCCTACACACACTGGTTATAGGAATGCTTGGTGAGGGTTTCAAAAACAGAGAACTAATAATAGTCTCTTTGTGATGGACGGGTTCATATTTGATGCCCTTATTTATTATATATTTATTTATTTCTCTCTTGGTTCTCTCTAATGTGTTGGGAGGTTGTGGGGTCTGTAGGGATTTCGGGGGTTGCCAGGAGCTCTCCTCAGACTTCCTAAACTGAAGGGTTTGGAAAAAGGGGGGTTGGATCCACAGATACAATATCTCACACAGCCATGCTTACATGCTCAGCTGTATTTATGACAGAAGGAATTTTTATTGAGGGTTATTTATGAATAAGCACCATAAATCTTTTTCTGATCAACATTTGTATTTATTTTCAATAATATACAATGTACACATACTGGAGGGTCACATCACAGATATCAGCAATCATGACAATCCACACAAAACAAAATTACGTTTCAAGAGCGATATAACTATTTGCAAACTGTCAAGAGTTTCATTATAGTTACAGAGTACACAAAGTTATGATCTTACAGGGAGGAAGTAGGAGTTAACAATACAATTTCATCATGGTATATTACTATAGAAGAATATGTACTCCACCCTCTCCCTTACCAAGTAGGTTAATAAATATTTTAAGATAAAGAGTTGTTAAGATCTGTTGGAGTTTGGCACAGTCCATCACACACTTCAACTGTGGTGGCCCAAGCTTTGTTTATCACAGTCACTGACCGCTCTATACGAGCAATATCTTGAAAATATGATGGATTGTGGATGTGATAACTACCATAAAGCTTTTGAACTTACCACAGAATCGAATTATAGATGATTGGTTTTGCCCAATCTAGATACACCTGGGTTCCGTAGAAGTATTAGTCCACATCACCATTCCTAATTCTAAGTTAATCATTGATCAGAAGTGAGGCGCAGAGCAGAGGCATAAGAGCACCACACACAACAAGAATATACATTTTGAGACACAATATTAGAACCATGAGCAACACAAAGCAGGAGGCCATTGCTGTTGCAGCTCCTGCAAATACAACGGATGAAAAGAACAGCTGCCCTCCCAACATCTGGACTGAACTCCTGGCTGTCAGAGACATGGTAGTGGAGCAACGCTTGGAGCTGAGAAACACAGATGCCAAGTTGAGAGCCACCAAGGGTATGGTGGAGAAACTCACCATAGATAATGAAGGTACAGTAAGAGATCAAATCAACTACTGTTGTCATTGGTTGGTTTTATTTAATAAATATCCTTAAACACTCTTTCTGTCATTATAGCCATGGAGGCCAGGCTGAAAGTCAGTGAGGGCTTGGTAGCAGGGCTGAAGAAATAAATGTCAGGTACTGTAATGCACAAAGCAAAATGTTGATAACCATTCTGTTTATTTTATTTTATTGAAGTAACTCGTATGTATTGCTATTTCGTACTTTTTGGTAAGGGTCCCTGCCCTGTGTCCACAGAGAGGTCAGCGGTGGTGTTCTCTTCTGCACTGGGGAGCACCATAGGGCCTTATGGCAATCACACCACTGTGGTCTTCAAACGAGTCTACACCAACATCTGTGGGGCTTTTGATTCATCTATTGGTATGTATAGTATGTGTGTCAAATATATGTAAAATGATGCACGTGATAAGTTGTCACAGTGGGCATGCACTGTACATAGTCATCTAAAGTATAAAGTACATGTTATACAAGGGGTGGGTCTAATCCTGGATGCTGATTGGTTAAAACCGTATTCCAGCTGGTGTCTATTCCACAAGTTACCACCTGCTAAATCTATGACGCTGAAATGCCTATTTACTCTGTTCCATCTCACACTGTCTCATCACCTATATCACTAATATCTTAATGCCTATATGTAGGTGTGTTCACTGCAAAGGTTAAAGGAGTCTACCACTTTGCAATTACTGGATTTGGCCGTGGAACACATCATATGATTTGAAGCATGTACCAGAACTCCCAGAAGGTCGTCTCTGCTTTCCACAACTCATCTAATGATTATTACACCAACATGTCCAACTCAGTCTCCCTGCAGCTAGAGGTTGGGGAGAAGGTGTATGTTCAACTCAGGAGCGGAGCAGTTGCCTTTGATGATCACGATGTTGTCACTACTTTCAGTGGTCATCTTCTGTTTCCAATGTGAAAGGGGGCACAGGAGTAAAGGAGTGACCGAGGTGAGGCCTCTGACAACCACAATGGGCTCTGTCAACCATTAATAACAGTAACAAAAAATCATATTTTTATTCTAGCTGTCTACATGATGATAGTATTTGTAATTTGTGGTCCTCTGTAGCTCAGCTGGTAGAGCACGGAGCTTGTAACGCCAGGGTAGTGGGTTCGATCCCCGGGACCACCCATACTCAAAAATGTATGCACGCATGACTGTAAGTCGCTTAGGATAAAAGCGTCTGCTAAATGGCATATTATAAATTATAATCACTATGCTATCAATAAAAAAATACTAATGATTTAATTTATTAGTCTTTGTTTACAATTATGATTGATTATGCAATAATTTATATTTGATGAGCTAACTTTCAGTTTGCGGAATATGATGAACACGATTAAAAAGAGAGTTCATGATGTGGTAATGGTGTATAATGTGTAGAGGTACTAGGAAATGTAATCAAACATAAGCTTGGCCCCGTCTTCATCCTTTATACACTGAACAAAAATATAAACGCAACATGCAACAATTTCAAAGATTTTACTGAGTTACAGTTCATATAAGGAAATCAGTCAATTGAAATAAATTCATTAGGCCCTAATCTATGGATTTCACATGACTGGGAATACAGATATGCATCTGTTGGTCACAGACGCCTTTAAAAAAAAGTACACTTCTCCAGTGTGCCAGTGGCTATTGAAGGTGAGCATTTGCCCACTGAAGTCGGTTACGACGCCGAACTGCAGTCAGGTCAAGATCCTGGTAAGGACATGAGCATGAGCATGCAGATGAGCTTGCCTGAGAAGGTTTCTGACAGTTTGTTTAGAACTTTTCGGTTCTGCAAACCCACAGTTTCATCAGCTGTCTGGGTGGCTGGTCTCAAGAAATCAAAAATACATACTTTGGCCAGGAAGTGCTTGCAAAAGACAGACAATAACATGATTCCTGGCGCTCTTCACAAGAGATACAGCATAATGAAAAAACATTAAATAAAATAACATCAATCAATGCATTTGGACATATGAACCAGAAAGACTTAGTAAGAGACTTGTGTTGTTGTGGTCGTTTTTCATTGAGTCCTCTCAATGTGACAGTATATTATAGTAGATTCAACCTCAGCACCATAAACAGTATGGTTTCATAATTTCAAGATGTCATCAAGACAGTAGGGTTTAAGGGTAGACCCAGAGGCAGGGTTTTGATTTGTCCATTTCAGTGCTGTGGAATGTCAGACAGGAACTTACCTGTCCAAACAGTGAGCTCTTACACCAAAAGTCCCCCTTACACCAAAAGGTCATAGGGTTTTAGAGGATGTCATGACTCACAAATGAACATGGATGCATCATTTGAACCGCTTGAATGTCCCTCCCTTACCACAGGAAGAACACAAGCCCCCTTACATTGAAATCATTAGTACATCAGTCAACCATACATGGATATAAAAATGTAACAGTATGCATCGGTAATGGATGCAATAAAAGAGGTTGTTTAATTTCCCCCTGCGTTTGTTTAGAGTACTAGTTACGTATTCCTCCATGTAAGTATGTACTCTATGTGCCCAGAGTCTGTGCAGCATGTGGGTTCCTGAGAGAAGTAGTGTTTGCTGTGGTTCTGTCCGACTGTTGGCTCCCTGGCAGCTGTGACTGTGTGCCCTGAAATCACTGGCCTGACTTACACAGCGTACCCACCACTCTCTTCTTGGCTTGGTAGAAATCTGCAGAGACAGAAACCAATAGAGGTTTTGTCAGCATTGGACTCAGTATTCAAAACTTAATTCAAATAAACCAGCAGTTCAACCCTACCAACTTATAACCCATCCCCAAAAACCATCCCCTACATCCACCCACCACACCAACGCTCCTACCTTTGAGGTTGGTCTGTTTCCACTTCAGTCTGTTTTCATTATGGTTCCTGTTCTCCTTCTTGTTCTCCTTCTTGTCTGGTGTTTTCTCCAGGTTCTGGAGGTTGGCTCCGTACTTCTCAGGGGTGCAAGGGATATTCTCCTTGCCACGGTGCAATGGCCCCGCCCTAACACTCCCTGTGGTGGCCGCCAGCACTCCCACCCTCTGTGCCTCCCCCTGACCCAACAGGCAGGGCCGGTAGAGGAGAGGCAGCTTGGTGCCTGGAACCCCCTCCCACTGGAAGTCTCCCCCAGCCAGAGGCTTCTCTGACAGGAAGTCGAAGCCCCAGCGGTGGCAGGCGTCCTCCAGGTCTCTGCGCAGGGCATTCTGGTACTCCTGCTGCAGCTGCTCAAGGTCCACTGGGCCAAACAGGTTCCGTCTGGCAGG